ACATTTAACAGAAAAGCTGTCTAATTTGAGTCGCAGCGTCGTTTACAGAATAAAGTACCGCAAAAAGACGGCGGGCCATCAAGAAAGTGAATAGACATCATCGCTACGAAGAGCGCGCCGGCCGTCCGACCCGCCTGGTCCGCCGCACTTTGCCTTTCACAAGCGAAAGAATATTTCATGTTAAGCAGTCGCACCTTCTAGCTTCCGCAGGATATGCGTTATAAACGAAAGGATTACATTTGTTGGCCATCGGCTGGCCATCGGGATTCGTGCAAGTGAGTCTAGGTCACTAGCTCGTTCAAAGCAGAAATAAATGGAAAAAAGTCTAATTCTTGATGCTAGGTTTTCTCCTTTCGGATTTTACTTGGTCACTTTCAGATCCAACGGGCAACGGTTTTCCGTATCATGCGCCTTTCATATATCGATCCTACGGGGTCAGTTTTTTGATAAATTGAGAGGTAATCTAATTTCACTGAATGAAAGAAGATGTTTGAGGAAAATTAAGCGCGGCACTTTATCTGATCTACATTAATGGAAAAATAAAGTGAATAATGAGCGGAGGCCTCATGCCATGATCAACCTGACAGAAAAGCACAACTTACGAGGTTTTGATTCCTTGCACACGGTAGACAGTCTGGTTGTAATTGACCATATCTTCCGTCGCTATAGGAATTTCAGGGATATACGGTATCATCATTTCCTCACGCATTTCTTGTGTTAACTCTAATGGACGAGTAGCATCCAGCAACTTCCTTGTCACTTCATGAATTCCTCCCAGTGGAAGAGCCATCAGTAGGGATCGCGTAGTGAGTCCTTTTTCTATAAATAGGAGCCAAATAAGAAATACTCAGCTTCACTGAATGTTGAAGCCCACTGGGTCACTATCGCTTCTTATCACATTGATCTTGGTTCAGGATGCGCGCCCTTGAGAGTGGCAAAAGGGACAAACTCATCAAAAAAGATGTCTGGATAGTCATTAGGATTCCGAAGAGCTCAAACATGTTCGCGAGCTTTCTGCAAGCAAAGCATCTTTTCTTCCTATATAAAGCTATGATCTTACCACTGACGACCCTTCGCTTTCTAGTGAGCTGCCTTTTCTTCGTGAACTCAGCCTTTCAAGCATCAAAGTCATTCAAGTGTACACTCACCAGTTTCGCTCACAGCCATTGCTTGTATTCCTTGTGCATAGATAAAGCTCTGAGTAACAACTTCCGGTGCTTTTTTGGTAGGTATAAGAGAGTCAAAACGATCCTGGAATCATCACCTTAACAATCTCCAAGGCGCATAATATACAATGATATTTTGATCCCACAGCAAGTTGAAAAAAAGCTGAAAAGTTACCGATGCTATGACTAAACTACGCGCGTTTCATTCTCTAAATTAAACATTCATAATCATGCACTTTTAGGAACATATAGGAGTGGCAAAAGCACACATTCAGTGCAAAATCGCACTCACAAAAAAAACCGCAAAAAAGGACTATATAAATGGAAGTAACCTTATTTGTTGCTCGCTTCCTTCGTAAAGTTCAAGAATGCCTATTTCAGTTCGCCTTCCTTTCTCCGACCAGTAGGAATACTGTAAGATAATGCAATTAATAACATGAATGCTATTCAAGAAAAATGACAATGATAAGTGACAAATGATGATTAATCCACATGGCAACGGCTACAATAAATAGATAAAAGGTCATTTTCTTGCAGGCCGGCCAGCAATTTTTGAAGGAAAAAATCTTCCCTAAAATAAAGGTGCCATCGAAGTAATCAGTTAGGACGAACAATGGGACGCCATTTGTGCGATTGCATTTCATATCTGTTATGTCACATATGAGACTGCCAGCGCGCAGCTTTTGTAGGGGAAAATGGGCGATGTTCACCTTCAATGTGCGAGGCTTCTGTAAGGGAAGCTCACTTATACTGCCCTGTTAACAAGTCCACGAGGTGAAAACAAAAACGCGATTGACAGCCAACCTTACTTGATTCTACAGGTATTCAAGCCTAACGAAATATAGCTAATCGTAAAGGCTCACAAAATTTAGAACAGCAATCTTTTTGCGACATCATATCACGGCCAAGTACTCACAGAAGAATTTCTAACCCTTCTTGGTGTGTACAAACTAACATTTGACGATAGAGAGGTTAATAAGGAAGACATTTCATTAAACGACTAGATCTACTAAATAAATAAAAAGTATTATAATAACTTACCGCAATCCAATGTTCGCAGTGAACCACATGTACAGGTGCTGTTGCCTTGGCAAGACGAGCAGAATGAATCATTTGCCCAGAAACTACGTCCACTAGGAATATCGACAAATACTGGTGGACTGAATCCAAGGTGGCTATCGCAACCTGAATTTCACTTCAAAGCAACGATCACCGAGTTGAATTCAACGAAAAATTGACAGAAACGCATACCAGATTTGGATTAGCATATTTGTACGCGACGTTGCGGTCTATTAGCACTCTTCCTTGCGAATGCATTTTCTCTGAAACCAATTGCTATCCTTCTATTTGAAACACACTGACGGTATGCTAGATTTTTGTTCTATTTCAAAGAATAATTATTTCTTAAACAATACCTTAGACAGGCAATGCAAAATAAACTTTGCCTGCTACGAAAAGTAATAACCAAAAAAACCGGTGAAAGTCTATGCTCAAGGCTTGTCAAATAGGCTTGAGCTTGACGGAGCGAACCCTTCTCCCCCCCCCTCCCCCCGAAGGATGAAGCGTTAGCCTGAGTGGGCGTAGTTTTTCGCAAGCCCCTGGCGAAAGAGTGGCAAGCAAACGGGAAGCTTAATACTGATCTGCAAGGGGGGACGTTACCGAGTAACGGACATGTATAGCATACATTATACGAAGTTCTTGCGCATCGTCAAAGAGCTATGTGATGCTAGCGATGGCGTGTGGCATCAAAATGGTAATATCGAAGCCCCATAACAAAGATTTGTACTCACGATGTCTGGGTTTTCCTTTTATGGCGATGATTTTTCTCTGCTGCTTAGCTGCTAAATCAAATCAGCGGTCCACACTCGGACTATTTTCTTTTCCAACAGATTGATGGCTGCTCCACAAATGTGTGAAGGTTCAGGTATGAGAATATAAACAGGAGGAGCTGTCGCGAGTTATGCTATCAGACTGAGGAGGGTGGATATCGAACAAACGATCCGTCACAAAAACACAAAGAAATACCATCATCCTTATACAGACCAAAGATGAGCTCATCATAGTTGAAAGACACTCAATTTTGCGTAAATAAGACAGCACGCATACAATACTCGGTACTCGGAAAGAAGTATTTGGACAAGTTGCAGCTCTTAATACGGTGAATTACACAAATGTTCGCGCAAAAATAATCAAGGGATACGCACATTCCCGCACAGGTGTACGAATCAAATTAGCCACTCATCGTTGCCACTACGAGGAATACCGCATGGTTGAAAATCACATAGCGTCGCCTTCCATAAATAATGGTTCAAAGTAAGTGTTCTTAGCGAAATACATAACATTTCCACACTTACCGTGGAAATGTTGTGTATTTCGCGGTTACACGATAAACGGTTGCTGCCTTGTGCCCTCTGATAAGCATATGTGAGTATACTATAAAACATTCATACACTCAGACGCAAACGCAAAAAAGGAGATCAGGCTTTCTCTTTGATCGACTCAACTCATAAAGGATAAAGGATAAAGCATTGCCGTTGATCAATCCCTTTTGGGATGCGGCACGCATTCTACTTCCATTTTACATTCGTAGTGGCGTTTGAATGCGATGTGGCCTATACAATGACTTGCGGGGGCCAGCCGATGTACAAGTCAGTGTTTTTTATCCTCCCAGAAGAGTCTGACCCACCCTTAACTCACCCCGAGAAATCGAACAGGGCTGCCTGGAGGCCGGTAGAGGATTAGCCGCCAGGGTGACTCCCGGATCCGTCAACGCGTATCTTGATGCACAATCAGACCAGCTCGCGTGTAGTGCCTTGCCGTCTCACACCTTCCGCCCATGACTCAACTCATGGGCTGTTCTAAACGGATCCTTCTACGCGCGTCAATGTAACCCCGCTACCCTTGCCAGCTTGTTTACCTGAACAGCGTACTAAGACAGCAGTTACTTCGCACGCTCCAACTCCAACTTCTTTTGATGAGTGTTATGCTTGTCTCCCGCACCCCCACCCATCGCCCTGGCTACATTAGATTTGGATCTCTTGTATAGCATTACTCAAAGCTAAGGCAGGTCTCACACTTGGCGATTCGCGTGATTTGCACCGGCGAATAACAGGTGAGATTGGCATGGTGCCAATGCCCTGCGTGCCACAGTCGTGACCGTAACACACAGCACGCAACACGTGCAGTGCACGTGAAGCGCACATGAAGGGGTTTCGTCGTTACCGATGAAAGTTGAACAGAAATCCTACAAAATGTTCCTTTTCTTCATTTGCTGTTCTACTAGAAACTGCGTGAGCCTCGGCTCTATTTAAGAAACAGAATAAGGCCGACTATCATACAGAAAGAGGAACAATGAGCTGATGAGCAAACAAAAAGGCTAAGGAAGATGTAAAGAAATAAGAAAATTGGTAGCTCTGTTCAAAATTTGATCTTCAAAAAAGGGTCAAGGCCACAACATAACGAGTAACGCACCTCGTCATTGGTTCCAATAACAACGAGTGGATATATATGTTCTTGGCCAACAAAATTCAATACATCAACACGCTTTATTGGCATCGGTAGCTTTGTTTCTTTGACTACTTTTCCAGTGATCGGGTTGAAAAATATCAACATACCGGCGGAAGACACCTTAAACCACATCTTAGAATACTCATATCTACCAAGAATAGTGTACAATCAAACAAATCCACGAAAAATAATACTCAAACATACCGAATCCTTGAATGCAACAGAAGCTTGTCCAGGTAGTTGGTAATGAGCTGTTGACCGTTGCACAAATAAGGGTACCTACACAATTAAGTTATCAATGGGTTGAATTTCACAATCTATTCCTTGGAAGAGGTCCAATTCAGTGAAGACAACGCGTACCTCACTCTTCCCCGTGAAGCTGGATAAGGGAGCAAAATGGTTGCCCAACCATAAACGCCAAACTATGGAGCCATCACTGCTGTCGAGACCAAAGGCCACTCCATTTAACGTGGTAGCAACTATGATCTTGCGAAGGTTGAAGAAGTCCCGTTCTAACGCCTCACCACTGTGACTGAAAGTGCAGAAGTCCTCAACTAATCTGTGAATACTCAAAAAAAGCAGGACATCTACTTACTTTCCACTTTTGGCAGCGGAACGAACGTGTTGAAGCAGCTTCGAGAACGAGTTCGTCCGTGTCGAAAGCATATACGAGAATGTGAACACCTTAAGAATTATCGAAGAAGTTTTCCGACTGGAAACGACCATAACAGCTCCAAATTCAGAAGGTCATAACACTCGCAGAATACTAAGAAGTACCTCATTTATTGTTTTCAAAAGCCATTTGTGGATTTGTGATGTTTGAGAGATAAGGCGTCGAACAAAAGAAGACATTATCCCACTTGTGCCTGGAAGGTACTTTTACATACTTTATCCAATTCACTTATGGTTAGTACTTCATCCAATCAGTCTGAAGAAGCGGCGCGCCTCGGAGAGTTATTGGATGAAATGAGGAAACTTGTAGCGCCGATTTAACGAAAACTCTGAAGTGATTGCGATGAATAACTCAAGAAAATGAATTTCCCCAAGGACCAGCTCGCTCGGTAAAGTTGTTTCAAAATAATTCCCGCTGAAACAAAAGTGTGGAACGGGTTGTTATTTATAAGGAGGTCGTCATGGGAGGATCGGCTGATGATAGTGATGGTGGTACAAAACTCCCATGTGCAAGTTTCTTGGCATAATGAACGCACCGTTAATCCCGTGTGGAGCACCATATTGAACTTAACAGCTATTTTCTGATGACGACGGTGACCCCCTACTTGTCGACAGTTTTTTCCCCTAAGTAATCTTCATCTCCCGCTAAGGTAGCGTGACTGAATAACAAAGCCTATGATGACGAAATTCCGGCACCGGCAGCACATCAAAAAAAAAAAACAGTGCGTTACTTTGGACGTGAGTTTAGTCATATAAGGATGTAAATACTACAGAAAAAAGGACAACGAACCTCCTTCCTCAAACTCATCTTCAATCATCTGCTGCAATTCCGACAAAGGTAAATCGACCATCTCCACAGAGCTAATTCGCGCCAGAGCCTCCTCTCGCACCCATTCACAGACGACTGATGATTTGGGAATATCAATGATAACGAATTCCATTCTGAAAACCAAAGAACTATGAAGTTGTTGGTTACCTAGTGGCAAGGCTGGTCATTTTCATAAGCGCTCCCCTATCGTCAGAGGCAATCAGGGAGGACCACAAGTCCTCCATAAAACCCTGACTGTCGATAATGCCGCTGAAACTGCAACACTTGAAACATTCCAACCGCGGCACAAGCACGCCCATCCAGAAGTTGCAACTGCGACACTTCCTCTGAAGTATAACTCGGCACAAACGAACGTTTAAAAGGATTCTGACACGGGTTTGGAAAGGACAAGGCAGTCGCAGATTGTACCTCCATGTAGGGCATGAAGATCGAATGTAGGAGTGCTTAATCGAGTGTTTCATTGCTAATGATCAACTGATCTGCACCAGGTTGGCATGGATGAACAAAAATTTTGAGTTACCTCGGTTTCCCAACAGAATGAGTTGCGAACTCAAGCAATGATCGACTGTAAGAAACGATTACAGGAACTACCAACTGAAAAGCTGAATGCGCAACGGATTTTGAAAACGGAGTTCACCAACGTGATATTGTCAGAATATGTCCACAACTGCAAGTGGTGTGAGCACTGGTGAGGTTGAAAGACGTGAATCACGACAATTAGCTACACAAATAGCCATTGCAAACGGCTATGCGGTACAAAGACACCAAAGTCGCATATCTCCCCAAGAGGGGTACCGCGTCAAAGCAAGTTGCCCCTATGCCGTATGTGTCTAGTTGGTTATTCTCAACGAAAACATCGCACGGCAACTGGTAAGCAGTGTTTGTCAGACGTTTGTGTTATTTGCACACAAAATAGGAGGTTGTGCCTAAAAGGGAGTAGTTTAACAAACCGAATGCCGGGCTTGTAACTCAACCTATATTGGAGAAACAGGAAGGGTTCTAGCCATTCGCATCAAAGAACATTTGGCTAGCATGAGGCGCGGTACTCGTTCAACGGCTCTTGGAAAACATAAGGTTGAGAAGCACAATGGCGTTGAATTCGAAATAAGGTGTACGGTGTTGGCGCATGAGACGGAAATTGTGCTAGAAGCATTGGAAGCATTCTGGATTTCCGCAAGAAATCCAGCGATGAACGGCCGAGATGAGTTTGAATAACAAGTGATTTTCGCCTGTATACCGCACTGCGAGCTGTAGAATAAAGCATGCGCACGCCGCCTATATAATATTACTAAATCAGGAGACATTGTGGTGTGTCTTATTTCTTACTGACCGGCGCTTTTGTGCAGAAGCGGGATTCCCGCACAAACGGTGGAACCCTGGGTGAGTTCAAAATTTATCTTGCTTATGTTTCTCGGCGGGACTCTCGATAAAACGACGGGAACCGCATGATAACATAAGACACTTGGTGGATTAGTTCGTGAACCTAACCGTGAACCACGCTTATACCTAAGAAGGCAACGTTAAGCCGAGTGAATGAGTATTCATCCATCAGCGCCCAACGGCAGAAAAATCAAACACAAATAGACCGACCGACGCTGATCTACTGAACCGTACTTGAGCTCGGATTAGCTCTGATAACAACCATGCCCTTACCTGCAATCTCGTCTTACAATGAGCAGCTCAATAGCTTCCTTGATGGACATGTACACCGACTCCACAGGAGCGAAATTCTCTTCTCCAAGAGGAAGAGCAGCCTATTACAATGAACTATGTCAATAAAATTCAATTGAGCTCAAACAAAAAAAGGGTCAACCTCAAATATCCGTTTCAACGTTTTCATATCATGGACTTCTACATTTTTTCCTGAGATAGTGACCAGCGTATCAGAATACATTGCAGCCGAGTCTACTCCGTGCTTTAAAGATAATACCTGAAAAAAGTTTTGATGGAAAGGTGCATATTGTGGACACATAATTCCTACCTCTTGGAGTCCGTCTGGGCTCAAGCGAAGCACCGATGCGGACACCAAACCTTTCACTAAGAGATGGTCATTATCCAATACTGTCAATTCTCTGCAAAAACACAGAGAATCCGAGTTGTAAAAGAAATAGTTTCGAAGCCTCGTACTTGATTTTGAAACCAATAGGCTTGCTCTCGTCGTTTAGTGTTGAACTGATACCATTTACAACGTATAAGGACTCGTCGTCAGCACACAAAAAGAAATTTCGCATTGTTATACACCTGAATGAGAAAGATTACTTTCATAACCGCACCACGACGGCAGCTGCGTCACAACAGAACAGAAGCTTTGATAGACTTGAATTCAACTCCACTTTTCTTCTGCCACAACTTTGATGCTCTTTGCTTTGACTCCTAAAGACTCCCCGGTGCTCAGAGAAAAATCGCGAACGTGAAAAACTCCATTCATAATCGACAAATGATGAACAATGTCATTGTCCACAGATATTCTCGACCAACTACTGAAAGAAAAATAATCTGATAGAGAAGCAAAACCAAGCAAATCTAGTTTTCAAACGGCACCTTTTCTCTACTCTCGCTGACCATCGAATTTCACCAGTTTCTGAGAAGGCGAATATTTCGTCTGAACTTGAGATCACTACTGTATTAGAAGCGAGTGCAATGATCGGCGAGGTCCTAATAAAACATAAAAATTGAGAGGACTTTCATATGATAATTTCATATCAGCATTCTGTCTCTATCCAACCTGAGGTCAGCCTTTTCAGCAATGCTTCGCTGCCACAGCAAAGCACCATTTCGTTTACTCCATGCCCTAACAACACGACCGGCATTGGACACAGTGTACAAAGCTGAAATTTCTCAGTCTTCCAAAAGACACTCTAGGCAAATGCTAGCACCTACTCGTTTCGTCGGCGGGCGAGATGGAAGACGTAACCCAAATTGAGTGCTTCTTGCGATACGTCTCCATACTAAAGCGATTAAAATCAAATTTTCACAGAAGGAAGATAGGTCGAATCACCTTAGACCATTCAATTCGATGAAAACTTGCCCTTATGGTCAAGGTTATTTCGGTAAGGGAAACACCAATACCAAATTCGTACGTCGAGAAAATGTAACAAGCTCCGCCAGATGGGTCGCCGCCAAACCGATTTGGTAACACAGGCGGTAACTATAGACAAGGGATAATTTGCCCCTTTGTACAGCTTTGAAGTAAAGCGCTCTGAGCTAAAGCGAATATGGAAATCCAAGCAAAAATCGTTGACAAAGAAATGATTTAAAAGCTTCCATGCTGCTAATAATAACAAGAGAAAAATCTCGCCTAACCCAATTGATCCAACGGCCTCCTGCATACGAGACCTGACCGCAACAGCTGCGCTTTATAAATCTGTTCAGTAAATCAGTAGATATAGGAAGTAGCTCTAGGATGTCTTCAGGTAAATGCGCTGGCATACACCTCATTCTACTTAACCGACTTGTTTATTTGAACATTTCTCTGATAAAAGTATGGAGGATTCTCAAGTGCATTATGTACCATGACCGGTGCAAAACACAGACTAGAGTAAAACGGCGTGATTTAAGAACCTATCTCTTGCAAGAAGTGCGCCTAGCTTCTGCTTAAAGCTTTACCGCCACAGAGTGTGAAAGACAACTGAAAGGATGGATTGTGAAAGACAAACTGAAAGGATGTGGAGAGGCTTCCGATAGTTGTATGACCATAAGCGTTTGATAACTTCCAGTACACGCTCCTAAGAAATTCCTTTACTACCCTTCTACAATACTGCTCTTTCTTTCTTACTTTGTTCTCGTCTTATTGAACCTGACGGTTGAACCTAGTTTTGGTGTTGGTTGCTTCGAAGGTAGCTGCAATGCTCGCGGCTGCGCTTCGGTGCAGCGCCAGCGTTGCGGCCGACGTGGAAGGGGGCTTGCAATAAGGCTGCATTACGATGTCAGGAGATTAAGGGCTACAAACAGTGAAAACTGCCGTATTACAACACAACGTTTGCCCCAGTTCACTTGATCGGATGAAATAGTGCAATCGATGTAATTAGCGGGCCGCGATTCAAACAACCAACTATGTGTCCAGTGTTAGACGAAAGTGAAGCGAATACGCTCTCTCGTGTAGAGACGAGCAATCGCTCGTTCTTACCCCATTCATCGAAGTGAACTTGCACTGGGCAGCCGATGTATTGCTGGCGCCTAAACAGCTGGTCTGTAGATAAGTTTTCAATAAAAAATGGAAGAAATTTGCTTACCAGTCAAACTTCCAACTTGATCTTCAAATAGAGCATCTGTCAATTTCATCAACAAAACACATGTCAACCATAGTTGGTCAACCCACATGAAGGGCTGAACAGAGGTATGCGTGAGTGAATCAGAATTAAGTCGTTGAACATCAGAACATCAGAACCGAAAGCGAAGACCGAAAAATCAAGTAAATGTAGTCGAAAGCAACGACCAGAAACACACCTCATATAAATTACATCAATTACATTACAATTTATAATTTAATAATTAATACATTTTGCACAATCAACAAACATAACAATCGAGCTCGCAGTGAGCGAGAAAGTGGCGTCAAAAAATTGGACAATGGCGATGACAAATCCAAAAATTATCCCGCAGTCACCGCCGAGTTCTGCCGAGAATGGGCCCATAAATGCACTTGAGCTCACGGTTTTTCCCTCGCAGCTTGATTAGACTGATTCCTGTCATGATAGTTTCCACTGCGTTGTTTTCTAAAATGAGTAATTGCACATTGATCGATGGGCAGCAAGAGAAGAGTCAAAAATGTGTTGATCAGAGGGAAAATGTGAAATCTTACCTGTACTGCTCATATACATCCATTGTACTGCCCAGTCCGCGAAACTGATCTTGCCTGTCACGAATTTCACCGCCACTAATTGGTTCAATAATTCCCTAGAAGAAGTAATATTGTTGTGCTGCGCGGCACGAAAATGCCACAATGGCGCCCGGATTTATAAAGTGAGCTAGTGTGGGCTAATGGACGAGATACCTTGTGCATACCTCGTATATGCACCATGGGTTGCGACGTAAAGGCTACGCGCAGTTTAGTGAAGCCATAGAGCAAGCAAGTTCAGAAAATTCGTCCTGCATGCCACTCCCTCATAGTAAAGAAGAATAGAACCGGTCCTTGTTTATAGCTTCATCGGTGGCTTCCTTTGTTTCCTTTTGCATTTGCACTCATCTCGGCATACAAAAACTTATTATCGACCTGTTACCCTACCAATTCGATCTCGGGTTGTTCCATTGAAAGACAAGAGCTGGGATAGTTAGTCGAAATTAAGCCTTTCCTCGAGAAAAAATGCGGAGGTACGCAGTGGGGAGCATGTGTACAAATATCGGGATGATTTGACAAGACCGAAGCGCTAATGCAATAGAATGCGGTCATTCGCCCTGCCCTAGATCATCGGCCCCGCCCACAGACCAGTGCTACTTAGCTTCACCGGTGCTAGAGGGGGGAATTTCCTTGTCGACGGCCTTACCGTTTCTTTTTTTTATTACTGATGGTTATACTTCACATCTACACTGTCAATTGCAAGCGTAATAACACATCGGTTTCATCCTCAACTTTACCTTGGAGCAACATTGCAAAGATAAGGTAAGTTAACAACAAAGGATAAATGAGAAATGGCGCAGAGAGATATTTCAGTCTACTTAATGAAAACGTGGCCCAAAAGCAGATGCTGCAATGGATTGGTCGGGGATGAAAACAGAGCTGGGACCTCCCACCCTTTAGATAATGTTTATCCTAATACGAAAGCGTTTTTGTTCGTACGTTCAAATTCAGTCAATAAAAGTCATTTTCGTGATGTTATGATATTCGAAAGTGTTATACAACCCCCTTTAGATAATGTTTATCC